ACACAGTAAATGTTTCCCTGTACTTATTGACTCTATTGACTCAAAGCACACTTAATATTAGAAAGCAGCTCTGTTGCTTCAGGAACTGCCCATTGGCTTTTGTTATGAGTGTTTTTCAAGTCACTCATAACAACAGGGATGTTATTGTTCACGGTAATTCACCGTATGATCCAGATTTTGGACGGAAAGTATTCATACACTGGGGTTCCAACTGGCTGAGGAACAGATACAATATGTTAGATGCAATTTCCTGAGTCATAAACGACTTAGGTGTCCAGCGCAGACCTGCTCAAGACTGGATTTGAGCTCTATTAGTACCATGGCCAGGTGCCAGCTTAACTATCATGCTGTTGAAAGAGGCACAGGTGGTGAGCAGGATGGCATACTGCTGGAGGTGGCAGCAGAACTGGAGGGGTGAAGTTGGAGCCTGAATCTGTATGACCAAGCAAAGCCAAACCTTAAAGCTGTCCACACAATTACCCACCACTGGCAAACCTGTCTGGTCTGCTTATCCTCCAAAATGCTTGTTTCTTGGACATGGATTGGGCTAAAGTGCAATGCCAATAAGGACTGCACAGTATATCATTGGTAATTGTTATTGTGATACTGACTTTTGCAATACTGATATCACAGAAGGCTGCAATGTGTAAGTGACTAACCACTGCACTCTGAGATGTTTATTTGCTTTGTGCTGTGAGGAACTTGATAAACCCTTAATTCCAGTCTTTCAAAACATTGTAAATGCTAATGGTTTCATAAAATTAGGTATCTGTGTTAATCAAATGAAATTACATGTCACAATTGCATGAGATTTCATAGATTTATCAGTGCTTTTTTAAATGGCCCATATCCTATGTTAATCCGCTAACAGTCGTAATTCATGTTTTCCTGACCGTTTTCCAGCTCTTCAAAATGAACTGGCTCTTTTTGTACCTTTTAAGATCCAGTCTGTGTAAACCACCTGTGTACTGCCTTGTTGTCCTGTATTGTACCTTATTCAAAAGCTGTACAGGCAAAAAACATCTCATAACTATAATATGAAAGGGTGAAGCTAACATGCTATTGTCTGATATATGAGAGTGTGTTTGCTTTCTCGACATCACAAAAACAATGAATTCAAAAGTGGCTGATTTTCCGTCTTATTTTCAAAATATGAACTAGGAAATGGTACATTTCAACTTTAAGTGTTTACATAGTACTTAAATCTCTTTTACTTAAAAATAGTAAGCAAAAAATGTTTTTATGAGCCCTTTAATATATTTCATGCCGTATTGCAATTACAATATGTAGCAGTATCATTACAACTCTAGTGTTTTGACTACATTGTGTAGCCCTAATGCTGGTGGTGTTTCACCATCCGAAAATTGTATATAATCTAGGTTAAATCTATGTATGAGCATAAATAAAGACTGAACACAATTGCCTAGTATCTCTTACAAGTTCTCTTTACTGCTTACTAATCAAGAATCTGTATTTACTAATTATCTGCCCCAGTTTTTCACCCACCTGCTACATGTCTCCTCCGCTTTCCTTTGGCAACATCACAGATTTGGGTTGTGTTAGACACAGGGGCTTAGAGGCATTGTCTGATTTGAGGATGTGCTCTATATTTAGAGGTGCGAAGATTCTGTCCCTGTTACTTTTCACTCGTTTCTCCTCACTTTCCCCCCCCCATCTCCGCAGTGTGACTCATCGCTGTCTCGTTCTTATTCCCCTTCCATCTGTCTGGATAATCAAATGTGCGATATGCATCTGCATATGCTATTATTTCACTGATGAAGCTTCATTTTCTTTGTTTGTAGGTGTGTGTTTTGTGCGTGTGTGTGTGTGTGTATGGTGGGGTGTGACTGATCGAGATGGATGCGGTGAGGGAGGGAGCTCAGCAGGCTGCTCACAGTCTGCTCTGTCTGATCCATCTGAAGCCCTGCCCATGTTGGCCAGCCAGAACGCTGTCAGGAGCTATAGAGGCAGATGGGTTGGGTGGGCAAGTAAGGGGAAATGGCAGCATGTCCCTGCCTTCCAGATACACTCTTATAAATAAAGATGGAAAAAAGGTCTTTGCAACAATTCCCTTGAAGAACCACTTTTGGTTCTCTGAAGAACCTTTCAGTTGACTGGTCTTGATTGTGCTTCTTAAAGCCAGAAAGTCACCGTTTCTGCAGTTTAATCTGCTCTTCTTTATTATTGTGATTCCTCAGTGTATTTACTCTGATATGTAAAGAAAATGTCTAACAAAGTTGAACATCGTTAGAGGCTTGTTATGTGTGTATCACAGACATCACAGACCATTTTGCGCAAGCAAATACAGGAATATAGTTCACACTTAAGTCACTGTTCAGTCATTGTTTCTCTGATGAAACGAATCAATAATAAGTAGTGATGCAACAAAATAAAAATTCTTGGCCGAAAAGGAACTGAAGTTCAGGACACACTGGGTTGAAAACTGAAATAGAACCCGAAAAAGCTGACAATAAATAAAAACAGTTTGCATAAAATAAAATAAAATAAACCTTTTAAGAAAGATATTTCAGTTATGTAGGCTACAGTATGTCCAACATCCTCAACAGAGTGGTTGGTAATTCAGAACAATGAATTCCATTATTTTATTGAGTTTATGTGGGCTTTTTTGGTCATTTTAAAAACTTTTTTTTTTTGGTTGTCTTGTTTTTATGTATTCTGCACATTGAGCGGGACGTCATGTTTTCAAGTTGTGTCAAAGCTGTAGTGGAGAAGTGGAGAAGTTCTTTGCTGTGGGTGTTTTATCCACTCTTAGTACAACTCTTGCCACAAACATTGATTATAAATCATTTGTCTAATGTCCCTTTTAGAATACACCTGGCTGACATGTTCACTGCTTGTCTGCAGCGGCTCAAACTGCTTGAATGCTTCTGCACTGAGCACTCTAGGAGAGTGAAATGAACAATGTTTTTAATAACTACTTCTCATTTTCATTATCATTAAGAATTTTTGTGATGTGTTAGATGTTGACACTTTGGTGTAGACCTATATAATCTTGTGTAATAATTTTGTTTTGGTTGAAAAGTGCAGCCATTTTTCTCTTTCAGTCAAGAACCAAAAGTGGCATTTTCGCACTGAAATTGTCACAGTGCATCCAACAGTAGCAACAATACCATGCTTCTTTCATATAATGATAGAAAACCTACTAGCAGATGGGACGATGACATCACTCCAAAGAACCTCTTTTTTATTTTAACGAGTGCATAGAACATGAAATAAGTTTCGAGCCTCACTGAGACAGACTGTCTCTTTGAGACGTTCCGCTCTGACTTTTCAGTATCCCTCCATGCGCTCTGTAAATTGGACTTCACACACTTCCTGATTGTCTGCTGTTCCACTTTCTGTGAAGTGCTCTATGAAGTGGGCTCTCTAGCCATGACATGGGCTTTTTCTGCTCCCTCAGACAGATGCTGAGTCTCTGCTGCAGCTGAAGCAAACTCTGTGAAGCACACAACAGAAACAGGCTTATAAAATTCCTGAAACAGAGCAGATGCATTGATGACTACCTGGCCTTCTCAATATACTGAGTGTTAACCATTGTCATAATATTGGCCTTTGCATAATGACTTTACAAAGGCTGTGATATGCAAATGAGTCTTCTGACCAATCACAATATTTTTCTGTGTGCAGTGATCATCCTGACCAATTACAGTTCCAAATGATGATGTACTTGTAGGGCATTTTGATGAATCATGACAAAGTCGTACAACAAAAGTAAACTATTCTGGTTAATCTTTAACCATGTCACAGTATTGATTCACCCGTGTTTTATATACTACATGTATAATGAATTGTAATATGTATCAATATCATTGTAATACAAGTATTTGTGTATTGTGTATCTCTGTGAATTTCTGTTCTGTGGCTATTGGAATATTGTAAGTTATTATTCTGCTTTAATGTGATTGGCTGGCGTTGGCATCCTTTTTTCGTCCGGCAGATCAGAAGTGGCCTCTGTCTTAATGCGCGCTGGGGCACCGTTCTTTGACAGCAGTGTTATATATTTATGAACGGCTGTGTCTTATGTAACAGCACTGGCTGGCTTCACCCAGTACACCAAAGACTTCTTGAGGGGACAGTTTTCTTGCCTTGATAACAAAGTAGGACAGTCATTCAAAAAAAGAAATGGGAAAAGCATGCACTATTTGAAAACAACTGCCTTCAAGTTTTTGTGAACATGTTTTTCATGTTGACTTGACAATTCTGAAAAGCAAAACATTAAAGTTTTAAAGTTACATTCAGAATGTTAACTATTAGTTTTTGTGTCGTTCTCCTATAAAGTTATTGTTTCAGAGATGCAACGTTTTCTTACGACAGTTACGAAAGGCATTCGAATCAGTCTGAATGCAAAGACAGCTAAAGTTTGCAGATCTGCATATATGTACTCGGATTGAACAAATCAATGCCCATTCCAGATTCTAACAAGGATAATTGAGTTATTGATTGGTGTCATGAAGATGTCATGAAGCACCTTGTGCATTTTAATGGCTAATCACACTTGTACATAGCAAAAGTTTTCACCTTATGCTAGCTTGGATCAGTCTCTCTATCTCTCTCTCTTTCCCCCTGTCTCTCAAGACACTGGCCTATGTACTACTGTCATCTTATTGTCGCGAGACAGTCTCATGGCAAATGAAAGCATACATGTCATTTATTTTTCATATACACATATTTATACTGCAAACATCCTCTCTTCATTTCTCCTTCTCTCTTGCTCTGCAACCTTCTTCCATTTTGCCTTGCTGGGGTTTTGCAGGCCAGCTTTTCTGCATCACTACCCTCATCTTGCCCCTTAATGGAAGTCATGTTATCTCTGGGCAGAGGGCTACTGCTTTCCAGCAAAGAGTTACTAAACATTTTTTATTTATTCATTCATTTTTTTAACATGCAAAAGAAAAGAACCTCAAAGAAAGATGTATGACTGTGATCACCTGTGAAAAGCCAGACTCTCCTCATTTTTTTTTCTCTGCATATTTCCACAGCTGTCCCCCACTGACAAGAACCTGGAGTTTGACCGTGACTTCCGCATTCGTCACTATGCTGGGGATGTGGTGTAAGTACAGTTGGAGGAAGCTTAAAATGAATACTCCAGTGTTTTTCAATCTAATCTCTATAGACCGTATCTATAGCATATGGCTGATTACCACAAGCAATAATTGTGATATGTTTCCTTGTACTTTGAAAACATGTTGACTTGAAGCACACTTTATAAAGGAAGTCAGTGAGCAGGTGCTGAAGTCATGTGTTTTTGAGTCAACAGGCTTTATATTATTTTACTTATTAGTACGGTGTCAAAATTGTCACATCACCTGTGATAATCAATTCTGCAATACTGATACAGTAGATAGAAAAAATGTCAGAGTATCCCTTTAATTGTATCTTCCCCTGTTAGCCCGCTAGCCCTCAAGATGTTGTGATTAACCAGTAGAGTGCTGATAGTCTCCAGGTAACAGTTTAAGTACATTGAAGAAAAGGCTGCTCTTGGCTTTACAAGGCTGCATAACTAATTATGCAAGTAATGCAAAATCATCATATGAAGTGATGTAAGTAACATATGATCTAAATATAAGAAATTATTTTTACAAAGACTTGTCTTAATATCTAGTTTCTACAATGGTTCATCTGAATAACCTCCTGTGTAAGCTGTGATTTATCTGACCTATTAAAAGTTGATGAGTTGTGCCATAATCTGCTGTTTAGTACTGTACAGTTGTGTGCAAAAGTTTGAACATTCCCAGTCAAATTACATGTTTGTTTTGCTTTTCTAAGTGAAAATAAGTTAACACATCCTGTATAACAAGGATATTCAACTAAAACTTGGGAAGGTTCAATTAGATTACATTTCTTTCTTAAAAGGTCTGGACAAACTAACTAACATAAGCATGTTTCTTTTAAATGCTTAGCCATGAATGATTTAAAGTCTAATGAGCGTAACTGTATGGATAGTGTTTGTTTAAAGATAAAAAAATCTTTTTTGAAAGAATAAAGTTAAAAAACTTTGAAATATCTTTTAAAAATATTTGTCCATTTAGGACAAAAATCCTGTCTTTTCAGAAGGTAAAATAAATTAAGTAAATAAAAAATACAGTTCAATTAAAATAAACAATAATAAATCTTATTCTATGAGCATTTCATACTGTCAGGGAATAAATAAGCACTCATTGTTTTGTTTTGCAGTGAAGTTTAATATTTCTGCTTTTGACTAGCGCCACAGAAGGAACAAATGAGACACATCGGTTTTAAACTTGACGCAGTTCTCTGTTCATTTGTCTTCAAACACTCTTGTCATTGGAAATAATAAATAAAAATCTATGAAAAATCTATTTGAAATAATCACTTTCTGACCTGATATCTAGCCCTGTTGTCTCTGTTCCAATGAGCTGCGTTTGACCAAGTCATTTACATAAATGCATGTGATTGGATAAATTGCAGCACAGGACTACTACAGAAGCCATCATAGTTCATATCCATGTATGTCGCTGAAATACAACCATTTTTTGCAAACGTTAACTGGCTTTGCTACGGAATTTTCGTCAAGTGCTTGGTTTGGTCCACAGAAGTAGTTTGTTTTGTCCACACCCATAGTGCATTCTGCCCTTTGGTGATCCCTGGTTTACAGGGAATAATATTAAATATGGCATTTATACAAATGTATACCTAGCAAATTTTAGAACACAATTTCTATTTATTTTCTGAGGTTAACATATTGAAAAAAACCTATAAAATATAAAATGTTATAATGCTTATATTTTATTTTTCCCCAATATGTGAAATTCATTAAAATAGACAATAATTGCACATTAAAATATGCAGAACTGTGTTGTCTGTACTTATTTTCACTTTTTTTGATTTTGAGCAGAGACACACAAACTCTTGCAAAAGACTGTGTGTGTATGTGTATTAGAGACAAGGATAAAAATACCTGCTTCAGTGAACATGTATGAGAAGTAGAGCACTGTGTGAGTCACCGGTGGCGTAATGCTTCTGGTCGGCCTCCCTGGGGCCAGAAACACTTACTGTAGCACTTAGAAGGCTCAGATAGAGCAGCCAATCAATCGGCTACTCGCCTCCTTTCATTTCCTCTGCTTAGGGGTCTGAGTCCTTTCGTAATGTGTTAAGGAAGTTTAAAATCACTGTTTGTGTGTGGGTGAGTATTTTCCAGTAAAATGTCGACTTATCTGTCTGTGTGTGTGTTAAATCTCCAATGTCAGGTACTCCGTGGTGGGTTTCATTGACAAGAACAAGGACACCCTGTTTCAGGACTTCAAGAGGCTTTTGTACAACAGGTCGATATCAGTACCTGCTGTCTTATTTATACAGAACTTCACTGCTCTGTTCTAGTTTAATATTCATATCCTTTTATTTTCCACTCCCACTGTGCTGTAGCACCAACCCTGTTCTGAAGGCCATGTGGCCTGAGGGAAAGCTGAGCATCACCGAAGTCACCAAGCGACCCCTCACAGCGGCCACCCTCTTCAAAACCTCCATGATCTCACTGGTGGAAAACCTGGCCTCTAAGGTATTGATTTATTGCATGTTTATGTCTGCACACCTTTTTAGGTGCCAGTATTTGGTGATTTGGTGTACTATGATATTAAACACGCACAGCAACATTACCATGGATGCTTTAAAGTTAAAACATTAAATCAAGGATTCACTGTAAAACTGCAAAGTACAGAGTAAAAAAGTTACCTGAAAGTTGCCTAAATCTTGTAACAACATTCGTTTTTCAAAGTCTGTTTTTAGACCGGAGTCATGTAGTTATTTAAGCCAGTGTGGAAAAAAATCCACCATTAGCTCAATGCTAATGCATAACAAAAAATCTCATAAATGTTGTAGCATTCTGGGTCTTTAGCATTCTTGTCACAGGTGTAGCAAAGGCTTCTTAATAATACGTAAGCACAGTTATGTAATACAGTCAGAATCAAAGGTTTAAATGGTTTCCTGGCCAAATTACATGTTTTGTGGATTTCGTAAAAAATAAGTTAATACATCTTCTTCAGGAAAAAATAAGGCATAAAAAATAAATTGTGCCATAACTTTTCCACAGGCCATATTTTATGTTTATTTTTTCTAGTATGTTACATTCAGCAAATAAACACTAATTGTTCGCTTAAATGTGCAGAAGTGTGTTCACTCTAGAAGATGTGTTAAAAATCTACAAAATACACCTAAACCTTTTCATACGACTATATGTGTGACATATTCATGATGATTATATGATAAAGCAGACAAGATGCCATTTTTATGGTGGCACACTACAGGTATTGGTTGAATGTTTTATGCCTTATTTTATGCAGTTTCATGACCCTTACAATACTCATGTTGCTGACATGTGTGCCTTACTTTTGCAATGATAGCTTAGATGGGTAGTGGGTCACATACTGCACCTACCCTCCAAATTTGGTCTTTGGATGACTTATGGTGTCTGCTCCACAATGCATATTTTTATCAGAGAGTGCTTGTGCTTGGACCCCTAATTATATCAGCACATGCTTATTTTCAGGAAATGCATTTATAGTGTTGAAGCATTAAGCATAAGCAAATAAAATGTATAATCATAGCATCATAATTTATTTAAATAATACCAAGATTGCATGTATGAAATGTAACTTTTAATACAGGAAAATATTGCCGTTTTACAGATGACATCTTCATTTTAGAAGACATCATGTTTAGTTGTAAAAAAATGTGTCTGTATGTGGGTCCACACTTCAGGTCTTCACTCTCATAACTACAAAACTTACATTACAGTTTCTTAGTACTTATAGTTTATAGTAGTTACAGAATAATGTATTATAGTTACTGAATAAAACATCTTAATAATTAAATAGAAAGCCTACAGTTTAAGGGGTATTTGTGCCATCTCACGCTCGCCCCCTGTTGATGTACAGGAACCGTACTATGTGCGCTGCATCAAACCCAATGACGTGAAGTCTCCACTTCTGTTCGAGTTTGAGCGCTGTAAGCATCAAGTGGAGTACCTGGGCCTGCTGGAGAACGTCCGAGTGCGGCGTGCTGGCTTTGCTAACCGTCAGACTTACCCTCGCTTCTTACAGAGGTAGTTATTATCTACCGACTTTTCAAACATCTTCTAAGTGTACTTACACCATGTCCCCTGTGTGTTATGGGGGCATCCAGTTAATTAAAGTATACAACTACCTAACTGTAAATTCTATGCATGCTTCTATTTACAAAGTGTTTTCCATAAGCATAAAGAAGACCTTTTTTCAGTGATACAACATGAAATGTGGGACAGGATAACTTTTATCATAGGTATTAAAGCAGAAGGAAATCTTTAGAAAAGCATAAACACATCCATGTTTGGGCCGTGACATTCACATTCTGCTTTAGACAGTTATATGTGTTAATTAACTAGCTCATACCATTATAATAGTATGCAAACCTTTGTTTGGATGCCATCATAACCCACCGGGAACATGGTGTAAGTACACTTAGAAAAAGTATAAGTGTATCCTTCCCTATTCACCAGCCTACAGATGCTGTAATTAACCTAATGAATCTTGTTAGTAACCAGGTATAAGTTTAATTAAAGAAAGGCTACTGTGTGGGATGGCATAAGGATTAGATGTTATTGATTGTACAAATGCATTTGATAATTGTATCTCTGAATGTTGTTGTGCTTCCAGCGAAACTGTGTCATATGCACAAGTTTAATCCTGAAATTCACTAACATTGGTGCAGGTTTGAGTAGTTAGGGAGTTTTCTAACGTTTCAAAAGTGTACTATTACTTACTCAGATACAGAGGCTATGTATGGCTGTCACAGTTACTCAGTTAAACTTGAAACCCATATAGGGTTATACATACAAATATATTTATGGGAAATTCCACTGATTTCTAATTTAAGATATAAACAAAGTCAATCAGAGTGGTTTGATGGAAAATAGACCATTCTAGAGAAACTTATTCAGTCGGAATTGTTTACAGTGGTGGTGATGGGAACCAGACATCCAAAGTGTTTAATGCCTCTAAAAGCTATAATACAGGACTTATTACAAATGTGCTGCCTGATGTCTAAGATATTGTTTTACGATAGTTTTAAGATAATGTTTTGGCCTAAAACTTTTTTTAAACACATTCATGCTGGAGAAGTATGTGCAGGACTTTGTTAGGCAAAATACTGCCCAAAGAAAACCCATTATCCATTATCCACATTACATATGAATACTCTGAAGGCATGTGTAGGTTCACTGGTTGTTTTGGATAGTAGTGTTAATAATGTTAAAACTTTTACCCAGACTTTGTGCTTGGGTCACTGGAGATTTCAAAAGCTTCCACTTAGGCTGGGCCTGTCCCCACTAACACACACATACACACTCTCTCACACACACACACACACACACACAGCTCTGATGAGTTGCTCAGATTCTGTTTGACACTCATGTTGCATAAAGACCTCCTGGCTGTGAGTGAGGTTAGCCTAATTGAGAGAGATGACTTAACCACACTTCCAAATCATTTTTTGCCTCCGCTCTGTCTATGTGAAGGCCTTGATTGCGCATGGAATATAATCTCCTGCTTAGACAATGACAATGCCTAATGGGACTGTGGGAAATGTTCCAAAGAGTCAAAACCTACACCACATCAATTTAACACACATACACACTCACCAGGCATCCTGCTGCCCTGCTTCCCACTGGCCTCATCTGTGGTAGTGACCGTGCTTAGCCTGTGCCACTTTGTGAGAGAACAAGAAGAATTAGTTATGAAAGACAAAGATTATTAACTCACTGACGCACTTCATTTTAGTTTATGTAATGCACATTTACATAAAAACCTGGAATTTATATGTACATTATTTTATCAAGCAAAAAATTCAACACTATATGGCCAAAAGTATGTGAACACGCTACCAGTTATTGAGTTTGAGTGTTTCTGCCACAACCATTTCCAACAGATAAGCACATAGTAATAGTAATAGTAAGCACATAGCCATGCAATATCCCCAGACAAACATTGTCAGTAGAATGGGTTGTCCTGAAGAACTCAGTGACTTTAACATGGCACTGTCAAAGGACGCCACCTTTGCCACAGGTCAGTTTGTGAAATTTCTGCCCTGCTAGATCTGCCCCTGTCAACTTTATGTTCTATTATTGTGAAATTGATGTGTCTAGGAACAACAGCTTAGCTGCAAAGCAGTAGACCTCAAAAACCTCACAGAACAGGGTCACCAGGTGTAGAAGCATGTAAAACCACCTACCCTCTGTCATATCACGTGTATTATATATGATATGATAATAATATGTAACAATATATATTATATAATATATTATGTATTATTTCTTTATTATTATTATTATATTATATAGTACAGAGTCCCAAACTGAAAGCAACATCAGCACAAGAACTGTGCATTGGAAACTTCTTGAAATGGGTTTTTTCTTTTCTTCTCTTTTTTTTTCTTTTTCTTTTTTTAATGCAAGGTGTTCAGAATACTTCCAGGCAATAGAACCATAGCCTGTTTTTTATGGGCCATTCTGCCAGTGAAGTGGAATCATTTTAATCAAAATATTTTTCTGTGTAACTGTCAGATTATCCAGCACACTGTGCTGTCAGATTAACTAGGACATTGCTGAAATGGCATATTATGGCTACTGTGCACAATAGTTTTGTGAGTTTCTTGGTGTTTGAAATTTCTTCCAAACTTTTTTAATGAATCATGCAGTGGGTCAGTGTTTAAGTATGATTCCCACTATGTGCACAAAAGACCTTATTGTGACTTAATTTATTGTGATAACAATATCATGTAGTCATATCACACACCCCTACCTGGACCTCTATTGTCGGTAGTCTTTATTACCACAGACCGCATTAAAGTGTGATTCTTGGTCACTAAAAATAATTAAAACATATAAACACACAAAACAGAATGGTCTTTGAAGGCCTGTAACTGAAAATGCCAGTAGCTGATTTGATGTGTAATGCACTTCTATAATACTATGACTCTTCCTTATCCCTATCAGGTATAAAATGATCTCAGAGTTTACGTGGCCCAACCACGACCTGCCATCGGACAGAGAGGCAGTGAAACGTCTGCTGCAGGGCTGCGGCTTTGAGCATGATGTGGCCTATGGCAAGACCAAAGTGTTCATCCGCACACCTCGCACCATCTTCAGCCTGGAGGAGCAGAGAGCCGAGATGGTGCAGAGGATTGTTCTCTTTCTGCAGAAGGTGAGAAACACACACACAGGATATTCACATACTCAAATTTAGGGCTGTCGTGATTGATCAGTTAACGTTTTCACTCAATTAAAAAAAAAATTATGAATTAAATTTCTTTCTTGATGAGTCTGCACTGATTAGTTCGCATTTTTTCATGTTGAATATGCTCATTTTTAATTGTTCTATATGAAGAAAGCCTGTGGACAAACCTGTTTATATTCGTTTTCACCAGTGTTTTTTTTATATTTATATTCATATTTAAATGAATTGGCAAAAAAAAATCAGTTTACATAGTTTTCCATTTACCCCAGTTGTAATCCATCAGCCAAGTTTAATTTAGCACTAGAGCTATTAGGCTAATGTTGATGAAAACCATACAAGTCAATATGCACCCAATTTTTTCTATAAATACATCCTCAAAACTTCTCTCAACCCACTCAAACCACATTCAGTTCTTCATTTAGGTAGCACAGACTTGTTGATGTGGTTTAGAGCACAGTATGACCTACTGTAAATTATAAAAATTAGCAAAACATAGTGTAGCTGAACACAGCCTTTTTAAACTACAGAATCAGACTCCCCTTCATATGTACACGGGCACATGGATGCTAAAGATTCTGTTCACAATTTTGGTTGTTTCTTTTTTTAGGCTTGTCTTCCATTAGGGGCAAGTGGAAAATTGTGTAGATTTGAATTTTTGCCATTCTTTAGGGGTGGTTTTGAAGTCTTAATGACTTAAAGACTTTTTTTTCTGATTATTGGATTCATTCTCAAAATAATTGGTAGATCGCGTTTGCTAATATTATCAATAGTGACAACCATACTCAAATCTGTTTTATTCACTGTTAGTGTCTTTTATTTGCTGTTCTGATGGGTCTCTTTAGGGTCTGCCATGTGTATCCACACCCACATACACAAACAAACACAAACAAACACAAGCAAACAAACCCACAGAGACAAAAAAGCTCCAGAGGCCAACAGGATCCAACAGAGTGTCACATCTGCACTGCAGGCTCTTGCAAGGCGTTGACATCAACTGCCACCTAATAACACAACACTATCCTCACAGCAACCACAATAAGGCAACACGCCAAATGAATGGTGCTAAAATTCTGTCTCTCTGTGGGAGGAACCAACAGAACAATTAATCCCCCCAGTAGTCACATTGTTCATACATTATATTGGTATAATATGTTTACTGTGACATTTTTTATGCTAATTATGTTGATTTATGTAACAGGTTAGTTGTATATTGATGTGTTATTTTATAGTACCATCCGTTTTTCCTCTCTCTGGTTTTTTAAGTTGTATTTATTGCTGTAGCCTCATCTGTGGGCAAGATGTACATACGTGAGAAGGGCGTTATGGCTTAATGTAACGTAAATGTGGCAACAATATGTGCTTACAGTGCAATAAATTTAATGTTTTCGCTAGCTAGCTTGTTTCGCTTGTGTTATCAGTTGTACTCTGGACCTTAAGAGTACTAACTAGAGGAAATTCAGGATGGGATTTAGAGGAGCACCTTTGTTAGTGGTGGATGTTGCCACAGTTCAGCATCAAAAGATTAACAGAATGTGCCCAGATGTGTATTTTCATTATGAGATCACATCTAGCCAGGTGAGACTTGTAAGACTGCTAATCACATAAACTGCCCATAGAGATTAGAACATGCCTCAGTCTGACTGCTGCCATTGTTAAAGGAAATCTCCTGATAATATGTTTTTGAGACACTATTGCTAATTTCTCTCTAGTTTTAAGAGGCAGAGAAATTCCTTGCAAAACTGGACATCGCTAATTGGTCAGATTCAGTACATGATTGGAATCATTGGCTACGCTTCCAATAATTCCACACATTTTTTGCACAGTCTTGCACATGGAGGACGGTTAGAAACACATTTATTTTGTGCTTTTCCATTTACACAGTGCATAAACTGCACGTTTAGGTTAATGTGCAAGTTTTGTACATAACGTGTGCTATTTCGGACATTATTTTGAAGTATGCTCTGTTTGTGCTGGTACAAAAGGCTTAGCACGTCTGGCCCTGAGAGTTCTTGAACATTCAAATATAGCATTAGAAATTCTAGATTTTCATGATATAATTTCAGCTGCATTCATGTAGCCACTGCTATGGAAACAGTCCTCCTTTTTCAGGGTTGTCTGTCTTTTTTTTCTTTCATAATAATAAACAGCCACAAGAGGTGTGTTCAAATAATGAGATGGGAATTGAAGCAAGATTCATGGCATTTACTAAATGAGTCCCATCCACTTTAATATCCATTTTCTATCAGAGAAACATAAGAAGATAGAGAAGTATACATCATGGTTAAAGCTAACACTGCTCAATATGGGGGTTGTTTGGGAGATTAATTCTCTCCACAGTTGTAGCCAGACTCTGAGGCATTGAACAGGTCCACGTCTATTGAATTGCAGTTTTAAAAGGCCTGTATCATGGAAAACCAAATTTCTTTTGTTTTTTGGAAAGAAATATGTACACATTGTCAAAGTTATGATTCACAAATCTTACAATTCACTCCCCAGTCCATAAGATTCTATATATTGAGACTAAGCTGCAAAAATAGCCTGTTTGAATTTTTTTTGGTTTTTGTGATGTCATGAAAACCAGCCTGAACTTTTTTACAGAGCAAGGCACAAAGCAGGGCAGACAATTAGAACAGAGATCATTTATATATCAGTTTTAAAGGCACAGTAACAGAAAAAGCCTGTTAATTCATGTAAAAATGGTCATGTAAAAATTAATAATGGCTGTTTTGGTACATAAAACTATATTAATGTCAAAAATAAAATACAAGAAAATACAAGAAAAAAAGTAGGATATAAACCCTTTAAAATTTCTTCACTTTACGTCCTTGTAGACTGTTCAACACCATAGCACACAATCAGACAGCATCCGGAAGTGAGTCTAATGTGCCTCTTACACGTATGGTTTTTCTTGGGCCAGAGTTCATTCTCTGATTTAAGCGATTTCATGGTAGAGGGAGGTGCTCGCTTGAGGGGCCCATAGTCTACATTTTTCTTGCATTTTATTTTTCTTCCACAATGTGAATTTATTAATTTTGTGTGGGTTTATGGTACAAAAACAGCCAAAGTTCATTTCTACATGACCATTGTCCAACCTCTCCTCATCTCTTTAAATTCAACAGCCTTTCTTTGTTACTGCGCCTTTAAGGCCTTGTCCACACGCACACAGATATTTTTTATAACATAGCTTTTTGTATGCATTTTGGCCTTTCGCCCCCATGTGAACTGAGATTTAGGTCACTGAAAATGGACCTTTTGAAAAACTCCTTCTTGGGTGAAGATATTCAGAAACTCTTTTTCAGTGTTGTCATGTAGACAGGGAATAGGACTGATATATGTAAATGACCTAAGTTCTGTTTGGCTATCATGTATTGTGCCTTGTTCAAAAAGCAGGCTGAAACACTCCTTATAGCTTCAGTGTGAATGGCCAGGCCTAAACTGCTGTATGCCACATAGGCTAATATATGTAAATGCATCGTTTTTTGTGATGTCACAAAAACACTGAATTTAAAACGGGCTGTTTTTGCAGCTTATTTTCTTTATATTGTGTGTATGGACTAGGGGAGTGAGTGAATTTTGATTTTCCATGACATGGGCCCTGTAACAAGGTCTTCTAACCTAAACGAACATAAACTAACACTGTTAGGGCTCTCTGCTTGTGAAATCATGCCTCAGTAACTTCATTCATATCACTATATGATACATATCGGTCTCACAGGACATTCTTCAGCCGGCAGCCACAGACGTCAAATTGTTAATTCTGCACTCTGCCAGTGTTTGAGATAGATTTTGTGACCTTTTTATCGACACTGGCTCCTGAACAGAGATATTGTCCTGACTCTGCTGTGCTTTGCCCTGCTCCCCTGAGGAAAAGGTGCAATTTGGGAGATGTTGTCACTTTATTAAGCACAGTGCTCACCTCCAGGCTATGGCTGTCTCACCAGAGTTAATATCGATAGTGTCTATCTGAGCTGAGTGACGGGCTCTGAGCTGCTAAGCACACAGACACAAAGGACGAACTTAAGGTAGCCCCTCCATGTGTGTTTCCCTCATCATCTTTCTGTCTCTGTTTCTGTGTCTTTCTCTTTCTCTGTCTGTCTGCCTGCCTGTCTGTCTGTCTGTCTGTCTGTCTGTCTGTCTGTCTGTCATTTACCAGCTTTAGATCATCTTACATGCTACAAAATCCCTTTATCAGTGCCTGGCAGACTGTGTTCGTTCATGCCAACAATGCCAGTAGTGGTAAAATCTGTGCCATGGTACCCATCCCCCAACACACTCCCTCCGATAAATATAGAGAGACCCTCAAACAGAGCACTTCCCTCATGCTTCCCAGAATAAACCTCTCACTTCTGGCATTCACAGTACTGTGCAAAAGTCTTAGGCCGCCTCAAAGAAATATATTTATAAAATGGATAGTTCTGGCTCCAAAATCTGGTTGGTTGAGCCGTTGTAAAGCCATTGTAATAAGATACTCTGTACAAACACATATGACCACACATGATCATTGAATTCTGTATTGTTGCAGTGAATTATTAAAAACTGGTACATTGCCTGGGAACCTTAGCCCACCTTTGATGAACTGTTGAATTAATGAGCAATTAGTTATTGCCATTATTGTTAATAATAGACACTACTGTAGTCATGCGTGTACGCAGGTATACGGCATGTAGGTTTGTGTCTGTGTATTTTGTGCTTAACCCTGATCATGACCTCTGAGAGCAGACAGATTCGTCGTAAAACCAGCAAATGCTTTTGTGTTTTTCTGCTGCCGCTCGTTTCTCCTGCTGTTGTGCTCTACAGTCACTGATAAAGCTAATGTTGCTAATTATAATGATAAAGCTAATGATGCTAGCTGCCTAATAGCTAGTGAACATATGGCAGTAATGACATTGACAGTAACACCAACAGCCTTGTTCTAGTCTGACAAATCAGTTTTGAGTTCCATTAAATGATCATATTCTTTTATTTTA